CAGATGGCTATTGTGTTGGCTGTTGTCATTTTTTAATTTAACAATCTAAGGAAAAAGAGGTCAGTGCCCCTAATATCAATAGGTATTGCATGTTTTAAAAGTTCTTGTGGCACACCAGTTGAAAATTGCTGACTTAATGAATCTCTAAGTACATTTGAATGCAAACAAAATACTCCTTTTGGGTTGACTTTGCCTCACTTGGCAGAGACCATTTCTGGGAATAAGGGTTTTATTTGGTCCCGCTACAGTTGACCCCCCTCCCCCCTTGAGCAACACGGAGGTAACCACGGATGGTACTAATACTAAGTCTACATATACAGGTGACCCTTGAGCAGTGAGGAGGTTGTTCTGACCCTCTGTGCAGTTGAAAATTCACGTGTTACTTTTGACTCTCCCAGAACTTAACTACTAATAGCATATTGCTGACTGGAACCTTTATCGATGAACAGTCAATTAACACATTTTTGTATGTTTTATATATATTACATAATGTATTCTTACAATAAACTAAAGAAAATGTTAAGAAAATCATAAGGGCTAACCGGTTTGGCTCAGTGGATAGAGCGTCGGCCTACGGACTGAAAGGTCCCAGGTTTGATTCCGGTCAAGGGCATGCACCTTGGTTGTTGGCACATCCCCGGTAGGAGGTGTGCAGGAGACAGCTGATCAATGTTTCTCTCTCATTGATGTTTCTAACTCTCTATCCCTCTCCCTTCCTCTCTGTAAAAAATCAATATAAAAAAATATATGTTAAAAAATCATAAGGAAAGGAAAATATATTTATAGTATTTATGGGGGGGTGTGGAAATCCACATATAAGTGGACCCACACAGTTCAAACCTATAGTCAAGGGTCAACTGTACTGTTTTTTCCCCTAAACATATATATCTATGACAAATTTATAAATTAGACATAGTAAGAGATAAAGAACTACTACTAATAAAAGAACAATATAGCCCTAGCCAGTTTGGCTCAGTGGACAGGGCATTCTGGGTTCGATTCCGACCAAGGGCACATGCCTGGGTTGCGGGCTCGATCCCCAGTGGGGGATGTGCAGGAGGCAGCTGATCAATGATTCCCTTTCATCATTGATGTTTCTATCTCTCTCTCCCTCCTCTCTGAAGTCAATAAAAATATATTTAAAAAGAGAACAATATAACACACTGTAATAAAAGTCAGGTGAATATAGCAGCAAGTAAAAAAAGGGTTACTTGAACAAGCACTACAATACCTTGACAGCTGATCTGAAAAGCCCACCCGATGGCTGTGTGCGGGTGACATATACACCGAGGATTTGCTAGACAAAGGGATGCTTCACATCCCAAGCGGGACGGTGTGAGATTTCATCACGCTACTAAGAATGGAGCATAGTTTAAAACATGAATTGTTTATTTTGGAATTCTCCCTTTAATATTTTTGGACTGCCGTTGGCCATAGGTAACTGGAGTCATTGAAAGCAAAACCACTGATAATGGGGGGACTACTGTATTTATAGTGACATAGCAATTAATCCCCTATTTTATGCTCAAAATTTCTGAACAGTTAAAAATCGTGTCAAAATGTCTGTGCACTGAGTAAATACGAATCAGAATATCCCACCAAAGCCTCGGATTCTGTTCCTTGTCATCTTTTGGTGGTGCTACAATCCGTTCCCTCTAGGCTTTAGATTTCTCATCCAGGACAGGAGGACTGCCCAAACCATCTTCCTCCTGTGACAGTCACCAATCTGCGATTCTCATTCAGACTGCCAGAAGGAAAACCTCTTTGGGGGATGGGGTAGACTCTTAGCAAGAAGTGATTGAATGTCAATAAAAATAAGTAGTCAGGTTATAGGTTATTTCTACTTTGGAATGATTCCAGGGTATTACACAAACAAAAATTAGACCAAACAAAAGAGCCCAAGATCATGTGGCTTATGTCTGTCTCCTCACCTGTGGCGATACCATTATAGTGAATTCTGTACAGGGTATCTACAAAATCTGATGGAAAGGTCAGAAAAGGCAAAAGCAAATATGTCCTAATTTTATTACAGCTTTTTGGATATGTGATCATTGTTTAATTGCCTTTATGATTCTAAAGCTTACTTTGAGGCCTTGTAGTACTACCAGCTAACACAAGAGGTCAGCAAGCAATTAGCTATTCAAACTTGGCAATGTTATGAATTAATGACAACATTACAACTGCTAAAGATGAATTCAAGAAATGTTTAAATGACCTTGCTTTTTGTTGATGAATATTTTTAAATGAAATTGACAGTCCCTGAGATTGTACAATGAATACTTTTTTTTTTTAATTTCTTTATTGATTTCAGAGAGGAAGGGAGAGAGAGAAACATCAATAAGAGAGAATCATTGATTGGCTGCCTCCCGCTGGGGATCGAGCCCACAACCCGGGCATGTGCCCCTGGCCAGAATCAAACCTGGGACCCTTCAGTCCGCAGGCCAACACTCTATCCATTGAGCCAAACCGGCTAAGGCTAATACTTTTTAATCTCAAATAGTTTCTTAAACTATCTCTTACAGCTGTAGTTAGTGTTATTCACCTTTTTAAAAACTGTTTTTACAAGTTTTTAATTAGGGCCACTCAATTGAAAAGGTAATTTAGTAAAAAGCTTCATTGTTTGATGCTTTCTGTTTAACACTATCTTTTTTTTTAGGTTACATTTCGGACAAGAATCTATCACTGTAATATTAACAGTCAAGGAGTTATCTGCTTGGACATATTGAAAGATAATTGGAGTCCAGCACTAACCATTTCTAAAGTCCTCCTTTCTATCTGCTCACTTCTTACAGACTGTAATCCCGGTAAGGTTAATAATTCTTTACTTTGTTGTATTCTTCCTTGTCTGAAAAACACTTGTTTTCACATAAACCAAAATTTTATTTTTCTAACACCTTTCAAAGGCAAAAATAGGTATTTTTAATCAAGAGAAATTCAGTCTAGTAGTTGAATCAATCTAGTTGAAAAATGCAGCAACTTCACCATTAATTGATGTGTTCTAGGAACAAGGTGTTTTAAACTAAAGACATCATTCTCCCTCGTACAGGGTGGGGCAAAAGTAGGTTTACAGTTGTGGGATTATTTATTCTACAATACAATTAATTAATAAAGAATAAATTGTTACGTGTACTCACAACTATAAATCTACTTTTGCCCCACCCTGCATATTTCTCTTTAAAAAAAAAAAATCAGAGTTCTAAGTGTTGAGCCGTCTGCGGGTTTACTGAGCACTTACCCTATACCTGGTTACTGAGGTAGTGTTTGTTTTTGAAAGTGTTATTTGCTACACACATTTATTGACTACCAGACTGTGATGTTAGGGGTGGGGAAGCAAATATACAATTAATTATGAAAGATTCTATTTAGGATTCAGAGAAACACTATACTTAAAGTCCAGGTTCTTTCTGGGTAACAGTGTAGAGTTAAATAGTGTTACGTTACAACAGCCATGAGGACTACACAGTATTTATTGTCATAACTGCTGCCACTGAGTGAGTGAAAGGTCATGTGAACACAGCTGGGTGTTCATTGTAGTCTGGGGCCTTGTACATTCCAGTTTCTATTGAGATTACCCTAACACATGACAGAAAAAATCCCTCCGTTTGGGTCATGGTTGTTGGGAGAGGAATGGAATGAATGAAAGAGATAAGGCATTCTATTTTGATAACGATTTTTTTTGCCATATTTTGAGTAGCTTTTTAAACTACCCAAAATATGATAGGGTGGTGTTTCAAAGATGGATTTGATCACATGTACTTGGTACATTTCTTTCCAAGCTGCCAGTAATTTAATTGCTAAGACCTAAAATATTCTTTTCCTTTCTCCAAAGTAATCTACATTCTTATCTTCCAGCCGACCCGTTGGTGGGAAGTATTGCCACTCAGTATATGACCAACAGAGCAGAACATGACAGAATGGCCAGACAATGGACCAAGAGATACGCTACATAAATTGGGTTTTCACAATTCTTACATTATTTGTCTGTCACAGAGAGAGCTGCTTATGATTTTGAAGGGGTGGGGGCGGGTGGGAGTTGGTAAAGAGTAGGGTATTTCTATAACAGATATTATTCAGTCTTATTTCCTAAGATTTTGTTGTAACTTAAGGTATCTTGCTACAGTAGACAGAATTGGTAATAGCAACATTTAAATTGTCATTAGTTCTGCAATATAAGCTAAAATGTAGTACAGAGAAGAATAGACTTTGGATTCAGTTGTTTATAGTCTGTAAATTTAAGCCAGCTTAATTTTGTGCAGGTTACACACATGGCCATTTCTGTGAAAGTCCTTCCAGACTGCATACTTTTTTGTTTAGAAAGATTGAAACTTGTTTTCCCTTCTTGGAAGGGAATATTGATATTTAACAGTTTTTAGAGATTGTCATCTCATCTTAAATGGACATGTGGCTTATAAGACACTTTTAGGAAATGAGTAGTTATGTATTTTATTTTATATGCTCTACTTTATTGTGAAAAGATTAGAGGTTTGAAAACCTGTAGTAAAATACCTTAAGCTGTTAACTGTAAGGCGTGGAATAGGAGTTGCTCAGTGGATTGGTTATATGTTGCAGACCACTTAAGTCTGCATTTGTTACTGTGCTAATAAACAATATTAAAACAACCACCTAACATCCCTGCATTCATTTTCTTTTAAACCAGATCTTTGCTATAAAGCACCCTAGAAGTAATTGCAAACTGAATGGATTGGTATGTAACTCTAATTTATACAACAGCCTTGCAGGATAGATTTTGAGGTGTCTTAGAAAAGCTTAGATAATTGAACCTGTCACCTTTCAAAAATGTACTCAAAGATGCATCTTTTAAAAAGCATCTCCAAGTTGCAGATGCTGTGGTGGCAAGTACATGAGCAGTGGGTTCTCTCACGGATAGATTAATGCAGCCACATTAGAGGGCAATTTGACAGCACCTAAGTGTTCATATCTATTGGATGTGGCAATTCTATTTGTATCTACTCCAGAGAAACTCACCCAGGTGCATGGAGTGAAGGTACATACACATTCATTAAGCATTTAAAAGGAATATGGTAACATTCCAGCATCGATCTAAGTTCAGTAGAAAAAAGCAAAGCTGCAAGATGATCTAGTATATTATCTAAAAATAATTGTAAAAGTATTTATCTTTCTATGTAAAATACATAGGGGAAAAAGCTATAAGTGGGAGAGCAGATAGGGAATGACAACCTTGTCTAAGCAATAATTTTAGACCAAAAAATGTATTTGTGATGAGAAATTTTAAAGAATTATGCAGTGGTAGCACTAGCCTAATCTAAAAGCATTCCATTGACGATGTTAAAACTTATTAGTTATTTTCACATTTCTTTGCTGAACAGCTTATTTCATGTTTTATATTTAAATCAAATAGTTAACTGCTTTCACATCAAAACCACTAAGTAGCCTGTTTCCTACCTTTAAAATTAGTAACAAAATTGAAATTTGCTAAATACAGTGAGCTCTATTGATCAGATCTTGCCAAAAATCTTCAGCGAGCCTTAGCACAAACTCAGATATCCAACTTGAAGACTATCTGTAGTCCAGTATTTTTATGATACATTTTATCCACATGACTACATGTCCATAAAACTATTCCAGGAGGTATAGTATTCCTTGTGGAAAACAAGATTTATTGTCCTTATGTGCCTAGCAGTTTTCTAAAGAAACAGTTTGAATATATTTATACCACCGACTACTTCAAGTCATGCTAAATGTGTAATTTGAACAAAGCTAAACCACAGGGTTTGTTCTATTTAGCAAGATCTCTTGTAGATAAAATTCAGCTTAGCATTCAAATTGTTTACTGTTTGATCCAATTTGGACACACAAAAAATGCCAGTTTATAATTCTAGGCATTAAATGACTTGTGAATTTTTTGGAAACAAAGTTATATTTGAGCTAAGAATGCATAAAGTTATACAGAATGATAGCTTTTGAAACATTAAAGGGGGAGGGACACTACTTATAGGTGTGTATATATAAATAACAAAGGTGCTAATATCAGGGACAAGTTTCAAGCAACCAGAATGCAAATATATTATTTCATATCAGGCAATAATAAGCTTAGCCCAAATAATTTAATTATAGCCTTACATGCATTAAATTGCTTCCTTAGGGATTTCTACCAGACCAAAAGTAGCTACAAATGGCCTATTTTAAATATGTTCACAGATACTTAAGGACAATCGCTATTCAACAAACAATTGTGGCACTGATTTTTAGTTCTCAGAACTAGAATTCCCTTTGTTTTTCCTCCCAGGCAAAGGAAAGCTGGATTTGCTCTGGGGCTGGGAAAGTTTGCTGGCCAAGAGAGTGAATGGTTCAATCAGAGTTTTCCGATCTGTAACTGTTACCTCCCACAGTCGCACCTTCTCACTTTTTGCCCATTGCTGTGCCACTTCAGCATCCACTTGTCTCTGCTCAGAAAGGTCCAGCTTGTTTCCTAATACGACAATTGCTACCTGAGAGGAAAAGTGATACAAAGATCACACTTTGCCAACATCATCAGTTCCTAGGCAAAATGGAGAAATAAAAAAAAAATTGTCCCATTTAACAATCTGGTACAACAAAACTGATTCTCAGAGGTAACCTGAATGACAACACAGTAGGACACAAACCTGACTCCTCCTGTAATGCATTTCTGTTAAAAACACAGAGGTTCATAGCTAAGATTTGTAAACAGCCCACGTGCCCATCAGCAGATGAGTGGATGAAAAAGCTGTGGTACAGTTACACAATGGATTACTATGCAGCAGTTAAAAAGAAGGCTCTTTTACCCTTTAAGACAGCATGGAGGGACCTGGAGAGTATTGTACTGAGTGAAATAAGCCAGTCAGAGAGAAATAAGTATCATGATCTCATTCGTGTGGAATCAAACAAAATAGATCCTGAGACATATAACCAGGAACAGACCGACAAATTTCAGAGGGAAGGTGGGGGAAGGGGGGTAGGAGTGGGGTGATTAACCAGGGAACATGTATGCATGACCCATGGACACAGACAACAGAGTGGTGAATGCCTGGGAGGGGCAGGTATGAAATGGAGGGGGTCAATGGGAAAAATCCAAGGGGACATCTGTAATACTTTCAACAACACATAAATTTTGAAGATGCAGATGTTCTATAGGCTGTTACGAAACATTTTAAATTAGCAACAGGTGAAGTTAACTCAGAATGGAAGCTAGACTTGGGGAAATTCATATCTAGGATGCAGATAAAGGTGTGACTGAAATATGCCTCCATTTCAGTTTCACTATCTACTGTGTGCTGTTTCCCTATACGTATTTCAAAATACACCAGAGGACTCCCAGAGCTGTGAGTTCCGCACCCCTAGAAACTAAGTTCTATGAGCATAGGAATTTTTGTTGTGTTCACACTATTCCTAATCATAGAAAGTTACCCGATGCAATCACTCAATATTTGTTGGACATATGGGCCAACAGGAATATTTTACAATAAATGCAAGGCAATCGTTCACAAATGCTTACTATACACCAGGCACCTGTTTTCAGGTGATTAAAAACCAGCAGTCACAAGCCCCCAGGGAGGGAAAAGGAAGGAGGACAAACAACCACCAGATTTTCAGATACTGACTGTAAAGCCAATAAAACAATAATGTGAAAGTGGAGGAAGTGCACCAAGAGCTGTCATAGAATGCTCCTCTGGGGACAGCTTTGAACTAGGACCTTTGAGCCACTGCTGTGCTCCTGCCTCTAAGGCCATGCCTTCCTGAAAGGATGGAGGGAGCACGCACGCCCTGGAGCTCTGGGTTTCCTGGCAAGTCTCTCCCATTTCTCAGCAGGAACTGTCTCTTCAAGCCCTCCAATCATCCTTCATCACCTAGATTTTCATCTTCACATACCTCCCCTAGGCCAGTGGTGCAGCTCTCGAGCCACATGCGGCTCTTTGGCCCCTTGCGTGTGGCTCTTCCTAAGCCTGAGGAGTGCCCTAATTAAGTTAATAACAATGTACCTACCTATATAGTTTAAGTTTAAAAAATTGGCTCTCAAATTTCAATCGTTGTACAGTTGATATTTGACTAATGAGTTTGCCGACCACTGTACTAGGCTGACCTCCATCTCTCTTTCCTCCCCAATTGTACAAACTGTTCCACTTTGCCCCAGACTTCCTACCTCCAACAGTGTCCCTCCCTAAAAACCCTAAATCTGTGGAGGCTGGTGCCGCTATTCTCTGCTACTACCTGCTTCCCACCCCCATTTTGTTGCTGTTCATTAGAGACCTGGCTTGTGGTCACCCCACACTACTTTTGTCATAATTCCTAGTGACTTCACTAGCCATGTGGGTGACCTGTCCAGTAACCTTGTCTCCAAAGATCTTAATCATTCTCCTAACCTCAGCCATTCACAACCATGAACACATCCTAACTCTTACCCTTATAACTGCTCTCCTCTATGAACTCAATTCCGGGAATCCCACTCTGACCTCTACCTTCCTAACACCCGACCACAGTTCTAAACACCACAAGGACCTACCATCCACTGGTTCTCCTACCGTAATCACTGTCCTTCAACCCCTCTCATCTCAGTTTCTCACCCAGCTTCGGTTATTTTAATTTACTCCATTGCTGTCATTATCCCATTGTGTTCACCTGGTATAAACCCCCTACTGTGGTTACATTTAACTCTTAACTGGACTCTGCCTACATCACTTACTGAACGTGTGTAGAAAAACCCAAATTCATAACCACTGACCTCAGGTGAGGTGGTGGTTTCCAGCAAATATATTACATTTACTCTGTAACTAAGACAACATCTACCTTGCCCTTTCCCCCAACCTCCAACATCTCTTCCGTCACCCACCTTACTCAGAGTCCATACTACTTCAGTAAGAAAATACAAGCACTGAGAAGAGACCTTTCACGTGTTTCCACCACACAGCTAAGCTACCATCTTCCAAGCCTATGCACCCATCCTCCCTGACCTGGACAAGGATGTCACTCCTGTATCATCCTCTCTTCTGTATCATCCATTTTCTTTCTATTGAATCATTCCCATTAGCACACAGTATGTCTCACCTAAATAAAAACAAGACTCTTTACAAATCCTTCTCCAGCTCCTCTCTGTTCCTTTATAAGACAATATGTTTACCCTTTGACACAAAACTAGCAAAGAGCTATGTTTGTTGTGTTCAGTTCTCTTACATCCAGTCCAATCAGACTTTATCTCACTGTTTTACTACAACAGTTAAGACCTCCAAGTTACTGAAGGCTGGCCATTTCTTTATCCCCCTTTTTTTTAACCTATCTGCAGCTTTTCACATAGTTTGATTACTCCTTACTTTTATTTTTTTTATTTTCTTATTTAAAGTATTACCAATAGTAGTACATGTCTCCTTTTTTTCCCCCCATTGTGATTACTCCTTACTTTTTAAAGTGCCCTACGTCTTCCTTGCCTTCTGGGACACCCTTATCTCTTGGATTTCCTCCGACCTCACTGGCCACTTAGATTCCTTTGCTGGTTTGTCTTCAATTCTCCAATGGGGTCAATGTCCAAGTGCTTCAGGGCTGTAGCATTTTAGCTAAGCTCCTTGCTATTCACCTTGTCCCTGTCTGTTTGACAACAGCCAAAGTGATCATTTTAAAACAAGCCCAAAGATGCGCAACCTCATTCATATTAAGGGAAATGAAACTACTAAATTACCATTCTCACCCAGGAGATTCACAAAACCCAATAGTTTAATCACACATGGTTGTCAAGGATGGAGAAACAGGCTTTTTCATACCATTCCTATGGAAGGCATTATATTTACTCTTTGACTCAAGAACCCCTGCTGCTTGATCAATTATACGCTAAAATGTGCAAAATAGTAAATGCAAATGATTATTCATTGTAGGAAGTCCTAGCCAGAGCAATTAGGCAAGAAAAATAAATAAAAGGCATCCAAATTGGGGGGAAAAGTAAAACTCACTGCCCTGGCCAGTTTGGCTCAGTGATTAGAGTGTTGGCCCACAGACTGAAGTACTGTGGGTTCAATTCCCTGGTCAAGGGCATGTACTTCAGTTGCTGGTTTGATCCTTGGCCCCAGTTGGAGTCAGTGGGGGAGGCAACCAGTTGATGTGTCTCTCACATCAAAGTTTCTTTCCCTCCCTCTCACTCTCTCTAAAAATCAATGGGGAAAAGAAAAAGTAAAACTCACTATTTGTGGATGACATTATTTTATATGTAGAAAACTCTAAAGACCACCACAACTATTAGAAATAAACAATAAAGTTACAAGATAAAAATCAATATACAAAAATATGTCTATACGTTAACGACAACCTTTTTTTAAAATATATTTTTATTGATTTCAGAGAGGAAGGGAGAGAGAGAGAAACATCAGTGATGAGAGAGAATCATTGATCGGCTGCTTCCTGCACGCTCCCCACCCCCCCAACTGGGGATCAAGCCCGAAACCTGGGCATATACGTATATGCCCTTGACCAGAATCACCCAGGACTCTTAAGTCCACAGGCCTGCACTTTATCCACTGAGCCAAACTGGCTAGGGGACAACAAACTATTTAAAAGAGAAATGAAGAAAATTCCATTTACAATTGCAACAAAAAGAATAACGTACCTAGGTATAAATTTCACAAAGGAGGTGAAAAGACCTTGCATTGAAAATGAGGGGGACCAAAAGTTTTGCCTTTTGAAATAGTGATCTTAAACTCAATTCTTCTGAAACAAAATTCAGAAAGAACTTTTGACTCCCTCCTGTCTAAGAGATTCAGATGGCAAAGCCTGCCTCAGGAAGGGGACCTCAGCATAACCACCACAGACAGACAGGAAGCCTCCAAGCAGGAGCCTGTTAGCTAGATACCCCGGGGCCCATTGTTTCCGAGTTGCCTAGCGAGGTTTTGCCTGCCATGTGTTCCACTCTTCCTCAACTACCGGTACATCAGCATTCTCACTTTTCACATCTAAGATCCTGTTTTCCTCCTCCTTTGACCAAAATGTAGTATGTACCCAATGCTGCCTCACTGTCTTTGGAATTTTCAAGCATATGTGAATTCCCTGGGTTCATGTATTAAAAATTGGATTTTCTCCTGTTAATCTGTCTCTGATAATTTGATCGTTAGCCCAGCTAGAAGAATTTAGGAGGTGGAGATGGGAGGAAAAATTGTTTTAGAGCACCCCCCCACACACACACCCAGTTTTGGAGAGCCAGCCAGGAGAATTCACTGGCTGGAATACTGCTTATTCCTTAGACTGCTGCAACTAAGAGATAATGGACATCTGACCACAGCTGGCTGAAAATGGTAAGCATTTTACCCTGTCAGCCTCTGATCTCGTGTTTGTGGGCTTCGATGAAAGTTAGAAGCAGTTAAAAAAAAAAAAAGAAAGTTAGAAGCAGTAAGAGTCCTTTTTCTCACTTCTACATTTAGATTGGCAAGAGAAAATATGTGTGAAAAGAGTCCTTTTTCTCTCTTCTACATTTAGATTGGCAAGAGAAAATATGTGTGAAATGAGTTTCCTGGGCAAATGTGACTCTGGTAAAAACTTGGTTTGAGTACTCTTGTTTTCTATGAATCCTGTTCCTTCCAGAGAGGTTCTATTATCTTCACCAGCTGAATGATGCTTAGGCATCTGGTGAGCAGCCGAACGGGCTATGGAACCCATGCTTAGGGAATCTTAAAACTTATTTGTTCAAAAGGGGGGGAAGCTTGTGACTTCCTGTGGTTTAGAATAGCTGGTGAAAGACAGGGCTTCCCTTCTTTCTTAGGCTAACTCTGCAAATAAACTGTTGGATCAGTGAGGGCTGTATCTTTTGTGTCCTTTATGGAACCTTTTGCTTCCTTGGTTACGCCATAAAAGGCTTAGTGTTTCAGTCGCTATTAAAATCCTACTGTCATTGGCCAGACGATGGATACCTTGAACTAGAAAAACTTCTAAATAGAAAAATGTTTAGAGAACTCTCATATTCGTATAATTAGCCATTAGGACTCCCTTAACAGGATGGAAGAACAGAAATTAGAACAAAAATCAAAATCCACTTAGATCTCTTCCTATTTACCTTTAGATATTTGCAGATACTGTAATAAAAAAATAAAAATTAAAAATAAATCAGGATGCCCGGCTGGTGTGGCTCAGTGGTTGAGCTTCGACCCATGCATCAAGAGGTCGCTGGTTCAATTCCCAGTAGGGGGCGTGCAGGAGGCAGTCTATCAATGTTTCTCATCAATGTTTCTATATCTCCCTTCTCCCTCTCCCTTCCTCTCTCTCTAAAAATCAATAAAAACATAAAGTCTGATAGAAATTAAAAAAAATAAAAGTCTTGGCTCTCCTATTGGTAAATCAGAAATACAAACAGCCTGTAACTACCTAAGGCTGAGGAAGCAAAGGGGGAAAAACTGGAAAAGGGGCACTTTTAAAAACACAAGTAGCTAAAGCCTTCCATGCCTGACCACGTCCCCACCCAATTATCCTTAAAAATTGGCAAGAGCCAGCCCTGGCTGCTGTGGCTCAGTTGATTGGGCGTAGTCCACGCATCAAAAGATTGCTGGTTGATTCTTGGTCAGAGCACATGCTCAGGTTGTGGGCAGGAGGTAACCAATTGATGATTCTCTCATCATTGATGTTATCTATTCACAAAGTAAATAAGTATTCAAAATAATAAAAATAAATGTCAATCCAGATGTCCTTCAGCAGGTCAATGGTTAAACTTTGGTACATACATACCATGGAATGCCACTCGGCAATAAAAAGGAATGAACTACTGATATGTGTAGTACCTGGATAACTTTCCAGAGAATTATGCTGCGTGAAAAAAGCCAAGAGTTAACATACTGTATGATTCCACTTATGTTACACTCTTAAAATGACAAGGTTAGAGAAATTGAGAACAGATTAGTGTTTGTCAGGGACAAAGAGGGGGTGGTGATAGGAGAGAAGTGGGGGTGGCTATAAGAGGGTAAAATAAATCCTTTTGGTGATGGAAATGTTCTGTATCTTGACTGCATAAGTGTCAGTATCTTGGTTGTGAAATTGTACTACAGTTTTGCATGTTGTTAATACTGGGGGGACTCCAGCTAAAGTTCTCTATTATTTCTTAAAACTGCATGTGAATCTACAATTATCTCAAAATAAAAAGTTTAACATAAAAGTAAAATGTAAAAATCTAGGTTAAGAACATCTAGTCAGCACTGTTAACCAGTACATCATAGGGGGTACTCCTAGGTGGTGAGGAGTCAGCCATGTGAAGATCTGGAAAGAGATCTGCGATAAGAGAGTTCCAGGGATGGGAACCAGAAACTGAGAAGGACTTAATAGGGGAACAAAATGATCATGTTGGAAAAACAGAAAGTGGACCAGTGTCAGTGGAGTACAGTGACAAAGGAACAGAATGATGAAGATAAGATGAAAAGGAGAGGCATGGGCCAAGTCATGTAAGACTTTATGGACTATGGTAAGGATCTTATTTTTAAGTGTCAAATGGGTAGAATCCAATCATTATTAAGTTAAAAAAAATTTTTTTTGCAAGGCTGAAGACAAGATTCCTATTTAGCCTAGGAGACAATAAAGAGCCCTAGGAAACAGTGCTGCCACACAATATGAAGTGAACTGCCTATATAGAACTTGAGATACGGAGTCCCTAAAATCCAGTTTATACATGAAAACAAGCAGAGACAGAAAGTCAAATGCTGGCCCCAACTGAACTCGGTCAGTCCTGTATTTCCTGGGCTAAGGAAAAAAACAAAAACAAAACACAACGTACTGTGAATACAATGTGAGTCTCTAAAAATATTTTAACTGCCCCATATTCCATGCTGCAATTTAAATAGTATTATGATTCATAGTTGGCATTTTTCACATATCCACTTACCTCTTTTTTGTCTTTGAACTTATCAATTTCTTTCTTCAGCAGCTCCACTCTTTGAAAGGATTCAAGATTATTCACACTGTACACTAGAACAAAGCCATCGGCAAATGAAAAATAGTGCTTCGGTAGGTCCACGCCCTCCTGCAGGCCTCTGGTGTCATAAAGATGTAACTGTTCCTTTACTCCCCGATCCGTTTCCACTGAAGCCATGTACACATCTTCCATTGTTTCACAATCTTCCATTCCTGGGATGAAAAAGGAATCACTCTCATGGGTACCAATATTGGATCATTGTACCAACTGTTGAGTATTTTCTTGTCCTTTAGAAGTTGTTGGCTTTCTAGGTTCCCTATTGACTACATGTAAGAAACATATTTCCATTACTAACTTCTTTAAAATGAAAGGTAGTTGTTGTAGTAAATGACCAACATGCTTTTTAAAAACACGTCTTCTGTATAGAAAAAATTTTAGTAAAGATTTAATATTACACATTTTTTAAAAGTTACTGTAAGAAGAGTCAAAGATCTGAATACCTAAATTGGAAGGTTAAAGGCTGGTTTTTAAAGTAGCTTCAATAACTTAGTGGTCCCATTTTCATCTCCATCAGAGCCAAGGACAGGGCCTGAGGTAAATTTGCTACTTTTTTTTTTCTATGCAACTTCCTCTATTTCCAAGGTCTGTTTATGGGACTCAAAAATTTATAACCTGGCCAGTGTGGCTCAGTGGTTGAGCATCAACCTATGAACCAGGTGGTCACAGGTTCGATTCCCAATCGGAGCATATGCCTGGGTTTCGGGCTGAATCCCCAGTAGGGGGAGTGCAGGAGGCAGCCAATCAATAGTTCTCATCATTGATGTTTCTCTCTCTTCTTCTCCCTTCCTTTCTGAAATCAATAAAAATATATTTTAAAACATGTTATATGTCCAGTCTGGGCCTGAACACCAGGCTTTCATTCCCAAGCACCTATTGGGCACTTTTATGTGAATGTCCTGCAAGTACCCCAAACTAACAAAACTTGTTATCTTTTTCTCCCCATACCTGTTTCTCCATCTAGCTTTCTCCCCTGGATCACCATCCACCTGGGCAGTCTTTAGAGTTCTTTTTAAACAAGGAAAACGTGGGTGCAAGTTATCATACATGAGGCACTTTACTGCTGAAACACCTGCTCAATACATTGCCACCTTCCATGCCCACTGGTGTGTTGGCACCTGAACTGCTGCAACAGTTCAATAAACACCTTGTATCCTTTCTAGACTGCTCAAATGTCAACTCCATGGATCCTCTCCTGATCATCCCCTTCCCTCCTTTCTGCTCCTACTGTGCCTTTTACAACACCATTTAATACTTAAACCTTCCCATATCGGTCCCCTCCAAGGCTGGCGTGTAAGCTCCTATGGAGCCAGGCCTGTAGCTAACCTATCTTGATAGCTCTGAGGACTAACAAATTGACTTACAGACATAGGAAGTCCTTAGTAAATGTTTGCTGAATGAATGAATTCATCATTGATGTCCCAATTTCAGTCCCTTTCTTGCCTGGGTGATCCTTGTAAAATGCATTCCTACCTTGCTTCATTTGTGCAGGTTTGTCTCTTCAACTAGTCTATAACTCCCTTTAGGCTGAGGAATTAGGAGAATCTGGCCAGTGAAAAAGATAAAATACTAAATATGGTAACATTTAGGATTCCCCCCAAAATGCCCCACCCAGGTCACCTTATGAAGCTCAAAGTCATAAATCCTATCCACATGCTTACAGTTTTCAATTAACGTTTTAATCCTCCATTCTTATTTATGAGGAGACAACCTAGGATTACCAGATGCTTGAGTAAAAGGGAGACCAAAACCAGAAAAGAACGCCTTATAAAAAAAGAATGCAGGAAAAAGAAAACTTACCAAAAAAAAAAAATTACCCAATATTATACTCAAAGAAATAAGATAGTACATCCATAAAATAAGAACAGGATACAAAGAAGTGAAAACTCAACACAAGGGCTGGGAAATAAAGATAAGGAAAACTCTCAAAAAGTGGAACAAAATATTGAGAGAAAGAAAACAGGAAAGAAATTAAAAAATTAGTTCACTAGTCTAGAAGATCCAGCATAGAGAACACAGAGAAGGGAAAAGGATCAACAAAATAATTCAGACATGAAGAACACACATTTCCATACTGAAAAGGGCCACATTTTCTTCATATATTTAAACTAAAGCAACATATCACAACAGACTGAACACAGAGGAAGTAGATACGATAACCCAACTAGACATTAGATTTTCAACAACGTAAATCGGTGCTCTTCTCACTAAATTATTTTGAAGACATAATTTTTCATAAACGTGTTATCTTGGTATGTGATGCTTATTATTATTTTAAGTAATAAATAAGTACTTTTTAAATTTCTGTTTTAATTTCTAATACAGTAAAAATATAGCCTATATAAACAAAAGCTGTTTGGAGTTTTAGGAAGGTAAAGGGGTTCTTTTGTTTCCCTCTGAGCATAATTTGTTTTTTTGCACAGCCAAAAATTAGAATCTGGAGGTGAAAAATTAAGAATAGTGCAGCATCTGTGGCAGGAGGGATTCAGAAACCATAAAAGTTAAGAACCGCTAGCACAGCCACCATGATAAAAACCGAATGTATGGATTTAACCAAAATTGCTAAATATTTTGAGACGGTGGAAGAGAAGCAAAGCTCATCAAAATAGTTATTAAAAGTAAGATAGAAATGTGCTCTAAGCCAGCGGTTGGCAACCGGTGGTCCGTGGGACCACTGGTGGTCAGTGAGGTCTGAGAGTTTGGCAACTGCTGCTCTAAGCTACTTGCCAGAGATACTTCAAAGATCTATGATTCTACTTATCTCTCCAACACAAACCTCATTTAATTCCAATTTGCAATGTTTGATCGCCTTAAAGCCAAAGATGCTGTCTTCTTCACCTCTGTATTCTCACAAGGCTGCATCACAGCCTGTTTCATATAGCGAGTATTTAATCATGACTCAGCTCAATGAATGAGATAATCCAATTCACAAAAGTAGGTCATACTGCAGCAAACAGCTGTTTCTTCCATTTTGAAAACCTATACAGCTGTATTGGAAAGTCATGTTTGAAATAGAATAAGATCATTCAGTGTATTCTTACATCAGTGCTTCTATGACTCCAAAACCACTATTCGTCATGTAAATACACAGGAAACTACATATATAAAAGGTATAACTTTCAGCAAGCACTCTTGAATTTCGCTATCATAAAAGATGTGTTTTTTTTTCTCTCTCCTATTATTTCCTCTCTCAACATCAGTTGACTTCTATGATCCTTTTGGTCCCTCTGGATTTCACTTTTGTGTACTGTCCCCCATCTTTAGGTTAGTATGACCAACAAAACCCCTAGCAGTTCCCAGAACCTACAGAAAAATAATCTTACCAATAGTATGATTCCCATAAAGGAGCTGCTCCAAAATTGCTGTTTTCCCCACAGACAGCAAGCCACAAACCACGACTTTGCAGCCCTTTCCCATCTTGTCTCAGGATAGCACTGCAAAGAGAACAGAATATCCTTAAAATTGTATACACTGAAATCAACCTTTTCTTTTTCTATGTTAAATTTAATAAGTAATACATACACAGGGGGGATTTCAAATTTAAAAAAAGATATATAGAATAAGGTATACCCTTCCAAACCCTACTTTATTTTCTCAAATTCTGTAATTTTTTTTAAATATATTTTATTGATTTTTTTACAGAGAGGAAGGGAGAGAGATAGAGAGTTAGAAACATCGATGAGAGAGAAACATCGATCATCTGCCTCCTGCACATCTCCTACTGGGGATGTGTCCGCAACCCAGGGACATGCCCTTGATCGGAATCGAACCTGGGACCTTTCAGTCCACAGGCCGACGCTCTATCCACTGAGCCAAACCAGTTTCAGCAAATTCTGTAATTTTTATGACCCACATCAGCACTAATCAGCTATCAGGAAAAATAATTTTTTTCCAGGAAAAATAAATTTTTTAATTCTCACTCGAGGACATACTTACTGATTTTACTTTATTTTTTTAAAAAATATTTTTTTAATATATTTTATTGAGTTTTTACAGAGAAGGAGGGAGAGGGATAGAGAGTTAGAAACATCAATGAGAGAAACATCGATCAGCTGCCTCCTGCACACCCACTACTGGGGATGTGCCAGCAACCAAGGTACATGCCCTTGACTGGAATTGAACCCGGGACCCTTCAGTCCGAAGGTCGACACTCTATCCAGTGAGCCAAACCGGTCAGGGATACTTTATTTTTTAAATATATTTTTATTGATTTCAGAGGAAAAGAGAGGGAGAAAGAGATAGAAACATCAACGAGGAGAGAGAATCATTGACTGGCTGCCTCCTGCGTGCCCCCTCACCCCCCCGGGGATCAAGCCCACAACCTGGGCATGCACCCTGACCAGGAATCGAACCATGACCTCCTGGTTCATAGGTTGACCCTCAACTACTGAGCCACACTGGCCGGGCAATGCTTACTGATTTGAGAGAGAGAGGAAGGCAGGGAGGGAAAGAGAGAGAGCAAGAGCAACATCAATGTGAGAGAAGCATAAACCGGTTGCCTCCTGTATGTGCCCCGAATGGGAATCAAACCACAACCTTTTGGTGTATAGGACGAGGCTCCAATCAATGGAGCCACACCAGCCAGGTGGGGCAGGAAGAATTTTTAATGCTACCATTATTGTAGCACAGTAGTAACAGAGCATTCAATTCCAGAGTAGTACACTACATTTTATCAGTAGAGAAATAATCATCACTTTATTTTCTTTATATTTTCAACATAACTGCAATACAAAAATTCTCAGGGCAGAGCTCTGTGTAACACTGATCATATACGGTATGCTATTTCCTATGTCAGCAACTATGGCCTGTTTTAAAAGGTTTTCTGCACATACCTCTGAATTTATGATTATTTTAATATCATCTCATCCTATATAATAAAAGGCTAATATGCAAATCGACCGAACGGCGAACGACAGGTCGCTATGAGGCACACTGACCAGTCAATTTGCATATTAGGCTTTTATAATATAGGATTTTGTGCATACGTGTAAATAAATAAATGGGGGGAGGGAGTTGTTTCAGTATACCACAGAAATCTCCATGAAGGACAATCAGTAAAAGTAACTGAATAGAGATAACTCAAACATTGGGTAAGGATTTTAAGGTTTTTTAGAACAGAAAAGGAAAGAGATAAGACAGAATAGACCATGTTAAATATTTTACATCATTAAAAAGAAAAAGACAAAATGGGGTGTGATTGACCAAAGCACAGCCGAAACATCCTAGGTACCTAGTTGTTTTCAAGTGGGAAACAATAATACTACATAAGGCTGAAGATTAATGGCCTGCTACCATCTATTAAAAAGTATGAATCCTTTTTAAAATGAATATCTACTGTAAGATTTTGAATGAAATGCACATTCAAAAATAGTTTATTTTCTACATATGGTAACAATGGCAAAGACTCACATTACAAGTAAGGAAGTAGTTATGCTCATATATATACTCAGATTTACAAACCAAACCTACTAAAAGCTTCATTCTATAAACATTATAATGTTTAATAATTCCCCAATACAATAAATATGTGCCATTTCCTTCCAAATTAAAAAAAAAAAAATAGGCCATTTGCAGTCCCTGCATGGACACTGAATCACACGAATAGATCCTGGGGATGGCCAAGTCTCCTGTAAATTTAGGTTTCGAGAGTTTGAAAGGCTCCAGAGTAGATGGATTGTGAACTTGAAGGTTCCTTCTGACACTGTAATGCTATGGATGGAAAATGCTTACTCAAAAACTACATCAACACTGAACTTAACACAAAAAGCAGTAGTTACGTAGAGCTATTGGTTACAGTAACCACCTTAAGAAACTGCTGGACAATACATTCCTTCTGTGACCTATTAAAATTCATCTGCTGTAAATGACGAAGAGAACATGCTTAATAGGCAAAATCCTGTGCAGTCCTAAATATATATTGCTTTGCTTTCCAGGCTAATCAGTAATGTTGCTAGAGAATGAAAACATGACCTGGTCTGTTCCTGGGGAAAACGCTGAGCTTGGGCCATATTCTCTGAAGAGCCATCAAAAACAGCCCCCCAAACTGGGAATACTTCTTTTCCTTAGATAAGGAAATCATTCTACTTTTATAAGAAAAACACAACCTTTTTATGTAATCAGAAAAAATGTTAATACTGAAACACTATTAACATCATAGAAAGATATTACAGATACTATGACATAAACATCACATGGGGAAACTACACTGCATATTTTTTAAATTTTTTTAAATATATTTTATTGATTTTTTTTTTACAGAAAGGAAGGGAGAGGGATAGAGAGTTAGAAACATCGATGAGAGAGAAATGTTGATCAGCTGCCTCCTGCACACTCCCCACTGGGGATGTGCCCACAACCAAGGTGCATGCCCTTGACCGGAATCAAACCCGGGACCCCTGATTCCGCAGGTCGACGCTCTATCCGCTGAGCCAAACCGGTTAGGGCGACACTACATATTTTTTTATGAAAACATCACATACTGTGCGCAATACTTTTACTATCCATTCATGAGCACATTTACATACATTAAAAGGGTTTTGCAAACAGTACTGCACGTAATATCCTAAGCAGATTCCAGCTTACCATTCTTTTATTCATTGAATAAATATTTACTGAGGGCTTACCATAGTTCCAGGCATTAGAAACAAACAAAACCAGAAATGATCCTTACCCTCGGGAATCTCAAAATCAATTGGAAATACCAATCCAAATTTTGCAAAACTAACAGAGAAACTACAAATTAAAAACTGCAAGATCTAATTAAGAACTTAGCAGTGGCCCTGACCAGTTTGGCTCAGTGGCTAGAGTGTCGGCCTGTGGACTGAAGAGTCCCAGGTTCGATTCCGGTCAAGGGCATGTATCTTGGTTGCGGGCACATCCCCAGTGGGGAGTGTGCAGGAGACAGCTGATCGGTGTTTCTCTTTCATCGATGTTTCTAACCCTCTATCCCTCTCCCTTTCTCTCTGTAAAAAATCAATAAAATATATTTAAAAAAAGAAAAGAAATTAGCAGTGGTTATTCACATCACCAGACTCTCCTTTCCAAATGATTCATCCAACCCTGTCTGCAGTCATCAACCTTGACTCATTTTCTCACACCCCACTTCTGATCCATCAGTAAATCCTCTACACCAGTGGTTCTCAACCTTGGCTGCACATTAGAATCACCTGGGAATCTTTAAGATCCTGATTTCTGGGCCCCATCCTCCGGAAATTCTGTTTCTTTGTTATGGGGTGAGGCCACAACATTAGTAACAAAGAAACAGAATTTCCGGAGGATGAGGCCCAGAAATCAGGATTTTAAAAAGATTCCCAGGTGATTCTAATGTGCAGCCAAGGTTGAGAACCACTGCTTTACACGGTTGAAACATCCAGGCTGAACCATTTACCACTTTCCGACCAACTTCCCTCACCTGGTCTTAAAGACACTCATGCCATAAACCCCCAAACCTGGGAGTATTTTACTTGATACAAGAAAAGGTATTTTGCAGCTCTGATTAAACTATGACCACTGCGGTGGGGAGATCATCCTGGATTATCTGGGTGGACCCAGTGTAAGCACAACTGTCTTTATAAGGGACCCAAGAGTGTCAGAAAGGAAGACATGGTGATTTTAAGATACTGTACTGCTATCTTTGAAAATGAAGAAAGGGGTCAGGAGCCAAAAAATACCAATGGCCTCTAGAAGCTGGAAAAGGCAAGGAAGTGGGATTTTCCCCTCATGCCTCTAAGAGGAACACAGCCCTACTGACAACTTGATTTTAGCCTAATGAGATTTCTGATCTTCAGAACAAGAAGACAATAACTTTGTGTTGTTTCAAGCCAGTAAATTTGCTATAATTTGTTACAGCAGCAACAGGAAACTAATACAACCTCCTTACTAGTCTGTCTGCTTCCACTTTCCCCTTCCCCTTTAGCCTCAAAACTACAATCCAAAGGATCCTTTAAAAATGTGTAAGCTACCCCCATTTGACAAAAGAAAAACCAATAAAAGCCAAACAAACTTTTTTAAAAAATTATATATTTTTTATTGATTTCAGAGAGGAAGAGAGAGGGGGAGAGAGGAAGAAACAACAATGATGCCAGAGAATCATTGATCAGCTGCCTCCTGCACACCCCACACTGGGGATGGAGCCCGCAACCCAGGCATGTGCCGGGACTGGAATTGGGCCATGACCTCCTGGCTCATAGGTCGATGCTCAACCACTGAGCCACACGGGCTGGGCCCAAATAAGCTTTTGATTTTTATATCGCTTGCATTTTGTGGCCCTCAATAAATAAATTTATTTTTTGTTTCCTAATATATATATCAATCACATAAAGTTATCCTTCTGCTCAAAATCTCCCAGTGGTTGCCAATCTTGCGCAGGTTGGAAACCCCATGTCCTCATAACCTTCACCTGTCTCTCATCTCCTGGTCTCCTGTGTGTATGGCTGGCTGCAGCCACACTGCCTCCGTGCTGCTCCCGCATTCATCCAGGCACACTCCAGCCGCGGCGCTGGTCCGCACATCTCCTCCGCTCCCCACTCTCTCAGGTCTCCTCTCCATCCTGGCTTCTCACTCGCTCACCGCGAACGTTCCATCCAAAACTGCCGCCTCAACACTCCCCACCTCTGACATTGTCGGTGGCACTGACCATCCGAGATGACATCTGACCATGTTTATGGCCCGTTTCCAAGGAAGCCCTGACCAGGCTGCACCCCCAGCGAGCGGGACGCTGCCCGGCCCCAGTCAGGCGCTTCATAAATATCTGTTAATGGAATCAATGAACTATGTGAAGGCTCGTGCAATGAATGGTAAGCCGGACTTTTCCTTTTTTAAAAAAAAAGGAAAGTAAAATAGGAAATAGGGGCGAAATAACCAAAACCTCTAATGATTTAGAAAGTAAATAGGATTCTCTTAAATATTGGCTACATTTAAACTTAGAACTTGTAGAGTTAAACCACACCATTGTATTAAAATACTCTGGAGACGCTAAAAAAGCGAGTAAACCGTTTTTTACATAAAGAACGCAACACAAAAAGCCAGCATTTTTTCCCTAAACAGGCGCACCTGCCAGCCAGGTCTCGGCAAATAAATATTGCGTTTTTCTAAAAAATTGTGGTTCTGACGTCGCAATACTGGAACCAAATCCTCACGCAGGAAAGACCCGGGAATGGAAACGCGCTCTCCCTCCCCCGGACCCATTTGGGGCAAAACCCCTCGTCACTGGCCCTGCGGGGGCTAAAGCCGGATTGGCCCGCGGGCTCCGACCCGCGAAGCCCCTGGACCGGGAGCGACTTATTTGGCGGCGGGGACAGCGTCGCGGGGGTCGGTCGGAGCACCCCGGGGCCCCAGACCCCTGCGCCCGTCCTGGGGTCGGAAGGGGACAGCGTTTCCCGCAGCGACACCTCAAGCGAGGAGCCTGCGGTGCGCGAAGCGACGTACCGGTACACAAAGTGACACAGACCTGTGCCCTCCGCAGACCCCGCGGATCGCGGCGCGTTGGCAGCCCGGCTCCCCGGCAAGTTTCAGCTACCGGAGCCCCGCCCCCAGCTCGCCTCCTCCCCCCACAGCGGGTCTGGAACGCCCGCCGCTGCCTCCGCAAGGTCTGTCGCCTAGAGGAGCAGGGGCGGGACAATGAGGAAGGCTGTGCCCCCTCCCGGCGGAACTCCGCCCACCCGGCGCTCTGCCGGAACTACATGTCCCATGAGGCTCTGGGAGGCCGCAGCTTTCTACCGGAAAGAGTTTCGCTGAAGTGGGGGAGGAGCCCAGAGAGGATTGTGGGAGAGAGGCTCTTCCTTTCCGTCTGGCCGCAGCCATCAGGTAAGCCGTGTTGGAGACATACGCTATTTCATCCGCCGCTCATCTCCCTCTGCCCGGGCCATCCAGGCTCGGAGACGCTGCGTCCTCAGAGCTTCTCCCGCCTCCTGTGCGGCGTGAGTTTGATCAGGATGCGGGGCAACGGGGTTACGGAGAGGCGGCCGCCGGGGCGGGCCGGGGGATGGTGTGATGGCGGCGCGAATTCGAGCTGGGCCCAGAGCGTGAAGGAAAGGGAGGCGTGGGGCAGAGGAATAGGAGGCAGGGCCAGGGCTTCCTGAAGCGAGTCGGTCGGTTGGGTAGAGTAAATGCTTTTTCCTAGGGAGTTAACCTTTTGGCGGCGGCAACATTCCCCTGTATTGTCGGCGAGGTCTCTGCAGACGGGGCCGGGCCCTTGGGGATGCCGCCTGCCGCAGTGACCCGCCCCTTCAGGGCCTAAGTCTTGCGCCATTCATTCGTGCAGGAAAAAAAAAAAATGCGCCGAGGGCCTTGCTGCGTTGCCCTCTCTGGGGTCGCAGAAGTGACTGAGCGCCGCTTCCCGTGGACGCAGCGGCGGGGGTCAGGCTAGCTGCGCGCTGCAGTTTGTGCAGAGCCATTTTCATCCGCAGTGGTTGCCTTGTGGCTGGTGGGGAGCTAAGATGGACGTACGCAGCCTTTAATACCCGGTGTTATCTCAAAGGTAAACCAAGATGGGCGCTTACAAGTACATCCAGGAGCTATGGAGGAAGAAGCAGTCGGATGTAATGCGCTTCCTTCTCCGGGTGCGCTGCTGGCAGTACCGCCAGCTCTCGGCGCTCCACAGGGCGCCCCGCCCCACCCGGCCCGACAAAGCGCGCAGGCTGGGCTACAAGGCCAAGCAAGGTGAGTGCGCCCTGCCTGGGTGCGTGGGTATAATTGTTCCCCGGGGAAGGCTAGGGGCTGGTGAGTAGGAAGAGCAGCTATTGCCCCGATGTCTTCCTTCACGTAGTTCTTTGGCAGCGACTGTCCTCAGCTGTCAACACATTGAGGTTGTGGACCAGTAAATAGTTGTCTAGCTGCTCTAGCAGGTGTGTTGTAGATTACAAATTTGCATGAGTCTGGACTAAAGCAAAATAACGGTGTAGAGTGAGAATGAGAAGTTAATCCCTATCTCTGTGGTTAATAACAACGGACTTGGAAAATAACCGTTTTGTGTTCTTTTTTAAAAGTGAATCTCAAACTGATGTTCATTTTACCATCGCTGGGTCTGTAGTATTTGACTTACGGTCTGAATATATTTGATGTAGGCGCAAAAGTGACATGTCATTGAGTCTTGCACTCTGTGGTTTTTATGAAATCACCGTGATTTTTGTTTATAGGTTACGTCATATATCGGATTCGTGTGCGCCGCGGTGGCCGCAAGCGCCCTGTTCCTAAGGGTGCGACCTACGGCAAGCCTGGTCCATCACGGCGTTAACCAGCTGAAGTTTGCGCGAAGTCTTCAGTCTGTTGCCGAGGTAAGTGGTCTTTGAGAAGCAGTTGTATTGGTTACCTCCCGGAGGTGATGTAGACTGGTTTGTGCAACTTTTCTGATAGCTAACTTGTGCCTAGGGGAGCCCTTTGTGTTTAGATGGGGTTTGTGAGTTTTACTATTAACATTGGTCGAGTTTCTGTCGAAGACAAGACTTTATAAATAGTCTGTTACTAGCTTGTCTTTGCTCATATATGTCAGAAAGTGTTTTATGATTAGTGTGAACCTGTGGAACCTAAGCTTTTGAAGGACAGTAAAAAGAAGGCAAAGCTATGCAAGAGAGACCATTGTGGCCTGCAGTGCCTAAAATACGCTAAATGTTAAGGTTTTTGTAAGAAGTTTGCTTGTCCTCCCCCCTCTGTTGTATTAGAAAAAAGGTGAGTTCCAGAATCCTAAATTTTGTTAGCCAGATATTATTCATTCCTTAAAGGCATTCACAAACCCCATTCATTAGATAGGGGCTAATAGTAGGGAATAGTAGTTTACCTTTTCATACTTATGGTTGGGTGCCGTAGTCTCTTGTCTAGTGATGAACTAAAGAGAATTCTTGGTTCCGAATTTACTACTGTGGGAAATGTGGGAGGCTGACCCTTTTTCCTCTTCTAGGAGCGAGCTGGACGCCACTGTGGGGCTCTGAGAGTCCTGAATTCTTACTGGGTTGGTGAAGATTCCACGTACAAATTCTTTGAGGTTATTCTCATTGATCCATTCCATAAAGCTATCAGAAGAAATCCTGACACCCAGTGGATCACCAAACCAGTCCACAAGCACAGGGAGATGCGAGGGCTGACGTCAGCGGGCCGCAAGAGCCGTGGCCTTGGGAAGGGCCACAAGTTCCACCACACTATTGGTGGATCTCGCCGTGCAGCTTGGAGAAGGCGCAATACTCTCCAGCTCCACCGTTACCGCTAATATAAGTAATGTTTGTAAAATCCTTACCTAATAAACAATTTAGGACAGTCATGTCTGCTTAAAAGTGTTCTTTGATTTGTTAAAACTAGTCTGCAGATTGTCATGAATGCATTGTCACATTATAAAAGTTAAAGTGCAATAATGTTTGAAGACTATAAGTGATGGTGTGTCTCATTACTCATAAGATAGACGCTTTTGTCTTGGCTTTATGTCAGTGATTTTCAACTGTTTTCATCTCATGGCACACATAAACTAATTATTAAAATTCTGCAGCACACCAAAAAGTAATGTTTTGCCAATCTGACCAAAAATAGGTATTTTGATCAATTCTTTTTTAACTTGACAATCTAAGGGGGCTAGAGGTTAGTGCCCCTGACTAGTCAGGTATTGCATGTTTTAAAAATTGTGTCCCACCAGTGTGCCACAGTATACTGATTGAAAATCGCTGCTTCATCTTATTAGGGAGTTTCCTATGTCAGTGTTTGGTATAGGTGTAACATTCTGTGAAGGAGTGCAAAACTAGCCAGTAGATTCGTTGGTGCATGTGATGAAACCTACAGCTTTATTAGGGTAATGCAGTGCTCTCTGCTTGTTTACTCTCAAGGAGCTGTTTTTTGGAGTTTGAATTTTGCTTGGAAATGTGAAAGATAACCTAATCTATTCTCATGGTCCTGTGCAGAAAAATGAAAGTTAAGTAGGGGGTTCACATTTTTTAGATTAACCCAATATAACTGCTGCTTCTGAAAGAAGAAAAGTTTAAAAGGATGCCACCATTTTTTAGGAGAATTGAATGATTCTGTTGAAAGAGGGTTCTCTTAAAATTAAACATTCTAGTTTACCTAAACAAAACTGGCTTGATCTCCGTAGTACCATTCACTTTCACATAAACGCTAGAAGCCCTTATTCAATCCCATGACTGAATTTCCTGCAAAGTAGTAATAGTAATTACATTGGTGTGTATTGAAACTGATGGAAATTGAACAAATGAGAAGGGGAATTAACTTTAAGGTGTGTTGTGTTATAACTATTATGAACCCATTAGCCACATTAAGGGGGAAAATGCAGTTGACTTTAAGGGTACTTGTGCTTAGTTCATTTAGTCTTATAAGTCATCTTGGGCCAACCCACTATATCCATTATTCCTATAATGTTACTGAGAATAGTCATGTATTGCTGTCAGTACAAGTTTAAGGTTTCCAGTCTAACCTTGGGCATTGTCTACAGTTATTTTTCTCATCCCTGCTCAAACTACCCTCAAAATCCTTACCATTCCACAAACTTTCCAGGCCTTCACTTGTGTTTACCTTAATGTTAAAGCATACCACCACATTATGTTTGCCTCTTGTCTTAAAATAGACTAGGTTTCTGTTTCCCAGGGTGAATCTGAGCGTGTAGGAAATATAGAAGAGGAATTGGCTCCAATTTCCAATTCTGGGTTTGCTGACTTAATAGGTAGTTTAGTTCTAAAATCCTAATTGCTGGTTTCCTTTTTTAACCAATTTTTCTTATTTTCTTCATGGGTCTTAAAAGGCTTGGTTAAATGATTTCCAGAAAACATGTAGCAAACTCATAAAACCTCTTAAGACCTAAATTCCTTTCCACTCAAATTTCAAACCATCTGTTTTGTGTGTAGAGGTTGTTCAACTAAAGGAATAAATGTCTGTTAAACTAAAACAATTGACCTTCTGTTATCTTTTGTCATCTAAATATCAATGTGCTTTAGAGCAAACCAAATATCCCAACCTGCAAAAAGGTGTCAAAACATGATGGCAGGAAGTCAGCAATATGTAGGAAAATGAAGTGTGTAGTACTTCATCTAGAGTTTTTCTCTCGGTTCTTTAGTCCTTGCATGAATTAGAAAAATATTTCAGTCTTTTTCTAATGTAGGGTACTAATTGGGGAAGGGGAGGGAATGTCTCCAAGAATGACTTGCTTCTGTCCTTGTGACCCTACAGTTTTGTCTCCATACAACAAGCACCTAACGCCTTTATGATGGGGAAAACCCAAGTATTAAATGTCACCTTAGACTTTTCCTGACTGTCCCACAAGCTGTTCTGTTTGCTTTAATATTTCTAGATCACCACGTGATTCAAACACCCTAATTGATTATCACAATTTTCTTTAGAAATAGAGCAACTGGTTTCCAACAAGATATAGGTAATTTAAACCCCCTTTGCCAATGAGCAAACAAAGGTGAAGCAACTTGCTCAGGTCATGCAGTGGCATTCTGGATTCATATCCTCTCTATAAACAGTTTAAATTTTGATTAGGTAATACATGAACATGGCTAAAAATTCAAAATTTATAATAGATTCTACAGTGAAAGTCTCCCTGTCTCCAAGTTCCCCTTCTGAAAGCAATGTTATCACTTTTTTAAAGTATTTTTTTCTTTTTTACCCAAATTGGATATCCCACA